TTCTCTTGATGAATTTTGAATAAATCTATAGCTAGTGGGTTTCAACCACACATTTCTTTCACTGGTTTTAAAAAATTGGGCCAGTTTATTTTAGGATACCTGGTACAAGCCTGTGTATTAATAGACCCTCTAGTATTTTTCTGCGTGAGATTCCTATTGTAAATAGGAAATTATTTTCGGTGAATTTAGGAGATTTATTTTCATGAATTTAACTCATTGCAGTTGCTTACGTCGTTGGTGAGAAGATGGTAACTTCAACAGTGTCAGTTTTGAGCCTAACCCTTTTAGTATTTGGCGTCATTTGAGGTATCTTCTGTATATGTAGTCCATTCATTTTGTGGTGGGAAGAAAAGTATTGTATATGCACATGATATCAGTATTGGCAGTGATATTTGATAAATGGTCAATCTTTGTTCTTGCATATCTATTGTGAATGAGATGATGATATAAAAAAGCAGACACTCTTCTTATGATTAGTAAACGGGCTTATAAAATGCTCGACAGGCAGTGTATGTTTATTGGTAAATGGTTACTAACAAGAATGCATTGATGCAACTACTTGAACATATTTAGGGATCAAAGAAAGGATATCCACCGTATGTTATCTTATTATATATCTCACGATACAATCTGCACTCACATTTCAAGTCAAAATCCTAACAGAAGCAAAATAGCTATATTTTTTGGAAAATATGTCGGCCTTTTTTTGTTGATGTTCACAGACAACACTCCTTGGCCCTTGCTGTTTCCTCAATAAATTGATGTATTCCAATAGAACGTGTATATTGTTCCGTCCCACTTTATATTGTGTGTGTATATATATCGTTGTATTTATCAAGTATTAAGAAACCTTTTATCGTTTCATTTCTTTTAGCTTTTGGTTGGGTAGTTGAGACCTATGCACATCTTGACTGTTGTGAAGTGAGAGTGTAATTTTTATCTGCATATTTATAATTTTATCTATATTGTATTTTGAAGTATAAGATTTGATTAAAAAAGTATGTGCATCTTTTATTGAAAAAGTGTGAATGTCTTATTATTATGCAACCTAACAAAGACTCAGGGGGTGTTTGTTTATAGTTTTATTTTCAATTCATGCTCAATCTATAATCGTGCGATACATGGAATAGAAATATCAAATGAGTCATTTTCATAGGACCTGTCTGTTTAGGCTTACAAAATAATAGAGCTGGATCATCTATTTTCTATCTCTTTTACTCAGCGTTGATTTTTTAGTACATATTCAATAACTGTGAAAAAGAATGGAGTNGATAGTTCGACAGAAAATTTAATCGAAAAAGTCGTCGGTCGTTGGCGGCCGAAAAATATCGTCGGCGATCGCCAGGGCTCGATGGTTCGGTGTGGTTCGATGGTGGCTCGTAGTCGGTTCGGGTGCAGTACATGTGGGTCGCAGCGCGTGGGTGGCTGGGCTCGCCGGGCTACATGGTCTGGGTGCGCAGTTGTCGGGTGCGGGTGCACGGTCGTCGGGTTGTGAGTGCACGGGCGTGTACGTGGGAATTGCTCGCTAGGTTGCCGAGCGTGCTGCTGGGTCGCGGAGGGGTTCGCGTAGCGGGCGAACAACTGCAGAAATGAAGCGCGAGGTCGCTGAGGCAATTGTTGGGTCGCAAGCGTGTGAGGCGTTGGGTCGCGTAGCGTGTCGTTGTGTCGCGACACTGCGGCGCTGACTGAAGCAATGGAATTGAGATGCTCTTTAAGACCTCTCTCAATGCCTTTCTGCAGCTCAGAGTGCGTATGCAGACACTGAGTGGGCTTATGATCTAGACTCCACCCTGGAGAATAGGACCGCGATGCGTCGCTGTCACATCGAGTACCAGCCCCGACCCTTTATGGAGGATGATTTCTGGAAGCAGAAGGCTGACGTGCGCTGGGTTGCTGAGGGGGAGCATAATACCAAGTACTTTCAGGGGTTTTGAGGCATATGCGTGTCAGGTTGTATATCCACAGTATCGAGGACAACGGGTCATCCCTGACTTAGGAGCCCCAGATATTGGAGTCGGCCGTGGCGCACTTTCAATCTCTATTCACCTCAGGCAGAGACTTGCTTGTGCCCCCCATCGCTTTTCTTTTCCCCACCATTCTTCAATCTTTTCTTTTCCCCACCATTCTTCAGTCGGTCGATCTTGTTGATCGTTTCAGTAGTTGTTATGAAGTGGATTGATAGCGTGTTAACACCTAAAAACGCAGGCTTTCCACCTGCCCGTTTTATGCCCACTTACAACAACTACTAGTTGGTTGTTTCATGCTTTAAGTGGCTAAAGACTAGAAATTATCCCATGCTGGCTGAGAGTCCTATATATAGGCCATGTCTAGAGCTGCACAAACACTCACAACATTATCTGCATTCTAACTCTATAGAAAAGCCCCACGCATTTAAAACATAGCGTGCTCAGTTCTCGACTCCATTCAAGTTCGCCGTAGCTTGAAACTTGGTGTGCTATAGCCTTCGAGATGTCATTCTTTGTATTTTTTGGGACAAGACGCACAAACCTGTTAGCACAGAGCATATTTGTCTTGCGGAAAGACTTCAATCGCCTCGACTTCAATATGTCCGCTTTTAAGTTGTAATTTTGTCTTAAGTTTTATAGTTCAAATTGTAAGAACTGAAAACTCACCTTCAGTTCATAGGTGTTCCGTTGTAAACGAATCACTCAGTCGTAAAACTCCAGGACGCGACAACCTACACCTCCCCCAATACAACCCCGACACCAACAAAATACATCAAAGACAACATACCAAAGGGGAAAACGCCCAACACAACCTCAGAAATCGGACAGCTCCGCTAAAAACGCACTCACCGGCGCTAGCTCTGGCCACCACGAGAGCAGCGACCTTCGCAGGAAGCCTCGATTGCGAAACCGAATCGCCAACTCGAACTACCCAACGTACTCACCTAAAGAGGGAGCACCGAAGCAGGAAGGATTGGCGCCATGGCCACGCTGACGAGCTCCAACCTAAAGCCGGTCATCCCGCGGAGGAGGTGGAGCCACGATGGCAATAAAGAGGCAGAAAAGGCTCGATTAGGTCAACTGTAAATTGGAGATTTCTGACTCGCGAGGAGAGAGAAAAAGTTGCAAGTGGCAGCGAATATGCAGTACCATTCAATTACACGAATAAATTACTTTGAATGCATATCCTACTACACATAAAATTTGTCTCATCGTTTGAGTTCTTCTGACTATCCAACTGAAAATGAAGTAATAATAAAAAGGATGATACAGAAAAAGTGAAACTCTGTGGACTAGTTTGTAATATGGATTATCCTTTCGCAGAGCATGTTTGCCCCAAAATATCCAAACACCATTATGGGGCAAGAAATCTCCCAATTTACGCATACATTAATTAGGACAATGGGATAACGTGGAAAAATACAAAAACCCAACCGCTTCTAATATTTCTGACCGTTGTATGACTTCGACATAAATAGCACTATAGCAGTAGCGAATAGCGATAGTTAATAAAATTATTGGTTTTAGCTGTTTACCCCTTTTTAAAGGGAAAATTCTATTATAGAGTTTGATTTTTTGTTATTGTAACACATAATGAGGCTGAATTTTTAAATTTTTTATTTGAGGGTTTCAATTATAAGTTATTGTCAATATAAGGCCTATTTTTACATTCTACTTTTCAATTTAAGACTTCAAATCATTTTGTATTTTGATACAACTATGTAAACCACAATACACTTTTTTTTAAAAAAAAAATAATTAAATAATTAGAAATATTTTTAGAAAAATTATTTAATAAGAAAATCAATTCAAATAAGAAATATTTTCAGTAAAATACTTTAATAAGAAAATTAATTCATTTAAGGTAAATTTATTTTGCATAAATGTAACTAATTTGTATTAATTTTCTTACGAAGCTAGTTTTACAAATATATTTAATACTTATATTATAGGCGTTAATTAATTTTATATATTCTTAACTTTTTAAAAAATATGAATTTTACTCACAAATAATATTTCTATAATTTTTTTTAAAAAAAAATAAAATTAATTTTTTAAATAACTTATATTTTAATGTTATCACATATTTTGATTAAAATTAAGTTGAAAGTCATTTTTTAACTTTTAAAATAAATTTCATTAACCATTTGCATAGATGTAAATAGTGAAATAAATATTTTATTAGGTAATTTTATTAAAGATATAAAAAAAACAAAAGAAAAAAATTTTACTACAGATATTTAATATTTTTTTTATGATAAGTACTTAAATAATATTTTTTTAATTAAAAAAGAGTATTGTGGTTTATATAATTATATCAAAATATAAAGTGATTTGAAGTCTTAGATTGAAAAGTAGAATGTAAAAGCAGGCCTTATTATTGAGAATAACTTAAAATTGAAACCCTCAAATGAAAAAGTCGAAAATTCAGGCCTTATTGTGATACAATAGCAAAAAATCAAGTCTTACAATGGAATTTTCCCCTTTTTAAATTATTGTGAGTTTAAAAACAAGGCAATACTACGGCTCCGTTATGGAATCACCAGTACAAATCCCGTGCGATGCACAGGTAAGGGATATTCATTAATATTTATAAATTAAAAATTCACATTAAATAATATTTATAAATAAAATACATGGAATCTACATGTAATACAATGTACCTATATTTATTTATTGAAAATATTATATAAAATTTAAATTGTACAAAATTACATAAAAACATCTATTTAAAATTAGTACACTACTCATGCGTTGCACATAACTGATAATAATCGTTTCAAATATGTGTCATTTCAAAAATTTTATTCAGAAATTCGATTTGACTATAACGTGATTCCATAAAATAATTATTTTAGTAAAATTTTATCATATATTTAAAAACCTATGTGAATAATAAGTATAAATATAAAACTTATAGTATCATCAATTAAAATAAATTTATTTTTTTATAAAATATCTAATCAAAATATTTAAGTAGTTGAGTAAAAACAATCAGTCATATGATTTTTTATGCCAAAAAAGGGACACCCTTTACCATGCTAAAAAAATTAATAGTGCATTTCACACAAAAATTATTTGAAATGTCGTAACAAAAAAAAAATTAAATCGAGACCCACTAATGATAAAAAAATTGACCAGAATTTTTTATATAAAAAAACATCGATACACGCACATTATATCAAAATATTCATTCATATTAATTTTCCGGAGTTACGGTGATATGTAAATTTCATATGAACAATTAAAATAAAAGTGAAACCCATGCCTAAAAACCAATATTGGCCTGCGCATTTCATAAAAAAGGGGCACAGTATATTAATTAATTTTTCATCAAATTTGAAATTTCATACCTAAAAACTGTGATCAAATAACCTAAATAAATTTGCCTACTTTATACCATATTTTGATTATTTTATTTTCCATAGAAACAACCATCATTACCAAAAATAAATTCGTCCATTTTATACAATATATTAATTAGTTCACATGATTTGAGTAATCATGGTATCTTAAAATATGACTTAATTACTTCCTTGACACTTTATACCATATATTAATTAATTCGCATGATTTGAGTAATCAAGATATCTTAAAATATGACTTAATTACTTCCTTAGAT